CGTTTTTCTTTTCTTTTTTCTCCTTTTTTTAAATACTGGAAGTGTCCACAGTCAGCCCACCAACTTAAAGTTAAAATCTAAACTCTTTCAGGATTGTACCTGTGGCAAAACATCAGTTAATTCCACCTTTAGTTATTTCTATTATTAATTAATATTATGTTCACTGGTGCTAAAGTATTACTCTTATTTGGTTAAAAAAAAATTTAGTTTAGTTTTTTTTTTTACTTCTCCAGATACAAAAGGAACAACAGATATATTTTTAAACCATTTGGTTTGACAGATGTTCATGAAGGAATAGTACAGGTGTATTTGGGATAATACTGGAGAATATACCTGAGGGAAAAGCAAAATTTAAAGCAATTTCTACTAATAAAATCCTCAAGAATTAGCAGAATTCTGTGCGGGTGTTGATGCTGTTAGTGCTGTGAATAACATTGCCATATTAATTTTGCACACATACATGCAAGGAGTTCATAGTCAGATTGTTCTGATTAGTTGTTTTGACTGAGGCATTTTCTGAATCTTTCTAATGTATAAAGTGTATATATATAAGAATTTTGTTTGATATACCTAAAGAAGGTCTGATTGACTGTACTTTAATAAATATACCAGCAGTAACTTGGACAGCGGGCGGGAGTTATGTTTAACTGTTTTTATGAGATTTCTCTGTGTGGGCTCATGTGTATTTGTCAGGATGGAGCTGAGCCTAAAAATAAAACATTGAGGTGGATGCCAACAGTGTAAGTTTATCCTGCTGCTAGACTACAGGAAACAGCAGGAGGAGAAATGAAAAGCAAAGTGTGAATTACGAATTTCAGCTTGTATTAGGAACATAACTCCTGTGGTGGTACATAAAAAAACAGAATAGAAACATAGCTACAAGTTTAGAAAAAAAGAAAAAGGCTATCCCACAAGGCCTGTCCATATAGGTAAGTACATTTATTTATATTGAGTATTTCAAGATACAAATCATTGGGTGCTTCACAAATAAAATTATAGCACTTTAACAATTTTTTTTAGGGGTTTTTGGGTTTTGTTTTGTTTTGTTAGCTTTCTCCCCTCATTATTGTGTTATCTTATTTTCATCTATAGATTACGGTTTATTCATTATTGTGCATTTTTATTTACCTTGACTATATTTTATATTACATTTTATAGCTAGCCTTACTTTATATTATTTTACTTACATATTTTTACTTCATTTTTTGTTCATTTTCCCATTGTTTTTCATTTATGTACCCTTACTTATCGACTTTATTATTTTTTCTTATTTTATGTTGCATATTAACATAACTGGTTTTCCTTTATTCTTTTTCTGTCTTACTATCTGCTTGTCAGTCATCTGCAAAGCTGAAAGATGGTACAGAAAGTCTGATTGATTGAAAGTTTGATTTCCATGTAAACAGCAGCTCCAGTGGCTCTACACGAGAATCTGACTGAGGCCAGTTCAGAACTGGTTAAAACCAGCAGGTAGACACATGGACATCAAATAATATATGACTGGGACTGGGATTTATGTGATTGTTATGACCGATCACATGAATCACAGGTGGGCAGTATACAGCTGGCTATACATGCAACTTTCTGTGCTATATAGATGTCTATAAAATGTCACGGTCATTTAATGGGCTTAATGTGTAATATGAAAAGCAAAATATTGTGTATAGCTACATTTCAATGTAGGTGAAAGTGTGCACAAAGCATGAACTCTATGAAAAGCTGAAGCAACAAAAACTATGCAGATAATGTCATAGAGCAACTGTGTGGAGGTCAAATTTAGTTCACAAATAAAGAAAACAGAGACACACTGCTATGAACTGCAACATGACAGAAGGCAATGGGATAACTGAGGCTATGAATGCACTAACTACAGGAAGTGGACACACATACGGAAAAAACATGGGTTAAAAAAAAATCAGGAAGACAGAACCAGACACAAGACACAGGAGATAAGTATTACCAAAATAAACAAGTAACTTGAATACAGAGGTAGATACACCTGCACACAGCAACTTTAAGCTGTGGGAAATGTGGGCGAAGACTGGGAAGCGTGAACAAGAAACTCAAAGAAATTCATGCATCAGAAAAGCTCCAAGTATTCACAAACTCTTTCTTAATAATAAACAAGGTGGTTACCATAATGACTGCAATTAAAACTAATAAGCAAATAATTCATGCAAGATACACTTAATTTTAAAAGTTACCCTATGTTAGAGCCAGAATAGAGCCAGTAAAAGTTAATGAGTAAAATTATGAGCCAGTAAAAGTTTGAAGTAAAAAACTAAACATTGTTGTTCTTATTTCCCTCCTAATAGTCAAAACGTTAATTATATAAATCAGGAAATATCTATTTTCTGTCTTTTGCTAGTCATCAAAAAAAGAAAAGAGCAGCGACATGAAGACAGGACAAAAAAGCATCTATGTACATAAGGTGGTCAAGCGACGAATGATACAACCTGTAGTAGTAGTAGTTTTTGTTTTCCTCTGACATCGTCCAAGCAATGGCACTATCTTTTTAATGCAACAGGGGGCGCAGTAAACACAGCAAATTGTTCCACCACTCTGAACAGATAAGACAGAGCTCACAGAATAAATCTAGCTATAGTAGAATAACAAGCTTACTCGATTTGACTTGGTTATCAGTTTAAGTGTTTGATTATTTAACAAACAACAATAAAACATGCCATAAAAAGAAACAAGAATGACACACATGTAGGCAGAAGGTTCTGTAGATACTGGCAAGCTAAACGTTATGATATTACTAAAATTTAATGCAAACAGGATTTAAAAAGGGCAAAGTAAAACACAGGAGGAAAAAAACACATATCCAAGAAAGATTTCCATAATTTTTGCATAATAAACACTAACATGGTTTATTATGTGTATGTAGTAGCACAATTGTATAATAACCTCTGAATAAACAAAAGAAAATACCATTGTACAATAAATAAAAATTGTATTTAA